TAGGATTAGGATTCACCCGATGATAACAACCTAATAAGCCTACTGGCACAATCTAAAGCCATTCTATGGGCCTGATAGCCGCTAATAACAACCAGTTATTGGGATGATAACATCCAAAGCACGTCTACGATGGAAAAGTCAGATTTTCCCTGTTTTCAGGTTAGGAAAACTTTAAGTTTTCAGTATACCTGCTTTGTGAAACAGATCCCAGAATGGTACAAGCTTGTGGAAGCTAAAAGAAAGTCTCCTTTTACTTTGGTTTGTTGTACAGTCGTCTTTTTTTTTTCGGAACTCACTCCATACTAAATTAGGCCTTTCTTTCTCTGAATATGTGCATAAACTACTGAGACCTCAACAAACTCATGTGCCTAATTATATTACTTTTAGATTAGCTGAACACCTGTGTTCAAAGATACAACATTGAGCTCTACAGTCTCTTAGAGGGCATTTAGACACTGTCTACTTAGAGGAGAGGTTTACTGACCAACTTTATTTCTGTTCACTGTGTGCCAGTACTCTACTTTATTTGCTTTTATGGCGTGGGGTATAACAGTTTTTTTTTGTGTGCAAAATCAACATGTAGAAAAGAAGTTCAGTTCATGTGGACGTCGGTACAGATCCCTAGCTGCCCAAGATTTATATAAAAACTATTTTGGAGATAGTATAACAGATGGAGAGTAGATATAAAAAAGACATTAAATATGATATATTTATCCTTATCTCAATAAAAAGACAAAAGTATTTCTATTTTTAGCAGCAACTCTAGTCATCTGTCTCTAAGCTTTCAGTTGTTTCTAAATACAACATTTTCAGTCAAAAGTCACAATTCTTCTTTGGAACTGCACCTTTGCTAAAACTAAACTTAGTCAAGAGCTCTGAAATCCACTTGTAAGTATAATTTGGTGTAAGCATAATTTGGTGATGCAAGCAAACCACTGATCCAGTGGAGATGAAAGGGTATAAGGAAAAAAAAAAGGGCTCTGAGCATTTCTCTCCTGTTTACAAAGGTAGGCGCCAGCAAACTGATTATACAATATGAGCTTGGTTTTAATTAAACGGCTGGCAGCATGGGACACAAGTGAGACTGAAGACTTGAACGGGTATGTGAATACATCTGTGTTTCCTTTTCTTCTGCATGTGTTGAAAAGCACGTCGAGATTGAGCCAGCAGTGTTCTTGCACATATTATCCTCTACATGGTGTGCACTCTGCATCAAAGTATCATCCTGATCCATGCAGAGAGGGATGCATAAGTATAATTCTGTGGCTGCAGGTATTCACAGTAAAACACATGACTGTCTTCAGTATAAAGAACAAAATGGAATCCAAAGGACCATGCATCTCTAGGAAGGTAAATCAATGATTTAACTATAAGAACAACATGACTGCCTCTAAGCCAACTACACTTTTCTGTTAGCATTTAACTCATTTTCTCATTGGTTTTACACTCCTGACAGCAGCGGGGAAAACAAAACAGCCCTCTGTTTCCTAATGATGCTGAAGAGATTGACAGTGTGCTCAATTTAAGTTAATTAAAATGCACTTCTGTCTATCACAGCGGAGGAAAATTACAGTCTCTTGCTGTTTGACCACATCAATAAATATGTAAGCAAGACAAATTATATCATCAAAATAAGTGTATCTGTTCCCATCCCTCCCCTGCAAGGCCGTAGGTGAATAAAATCCAGAACCTAATCAAGCAGTCTCCCTTCAGAAACATGTAGGAAAGAATGGGCTGGTTTTAGGAGCTCGGGGAATTCTAGCAGGTTATAGGACGCTATTTGATGAATAGTCCGAAAATACCTTATTACAATTTCAGCAGTAATAAGGAATGTTTGCAAATCCACCATGAAGTGGAAGGCCATGTAAGATAACAGTATTAGTTTGGTGGTCATCCACAATGTGCAGAATCAGAGACAGAAGGTCCTTGAAAATTATGGAATGGGTTTCCATTAGGGAGCCACTGCTTCCTATTGTGAAACCACTAACACAGTGATTCAAACCCAGCTTCACTTTTTTCTGGAGAAGTAAAACAATCCAATTCCTTTGTTTGGAAACCATGATGGTTTAATAGTTGCAGAGAACAATACATATCTAACTGCACTTTGGGTTGAAAGTATCTTTGTTTGCTTAGATGTTGAGCACTACCACTTCTGCTTCTTTTCCTCAGACGAGGTTGAGTTAGTTCAATTCTGATTAATTCATTTTACAATACAAGGGAGTATTATTTCTTTGTTGATCTTTAACAGTTTATAGTTTGCAGATACACAGCAGCAACAGGCTGCTCCATTTATGGCTGCTGTCAGACTCAGTGTTAAAGATGAGAACTGAGAGAGGAGCCAGGTGATAACCTGGATATGTCCAGGAACAGGACAGAGAGAGACGCTATGCTTTATTAAAGGTATTGTGGAGGATGTTCTTTATGGAGGACCAATCCTGCAATAATTAAAAATAAATACATAAAATAAATAAATGCTCTAAAAATAAATAAGCATACAATTAATTGGCCCCCAAAAAATACAATAAACAAATAAATGTAGGTAGAAATTAAATTATACAGTGAGACATAAATATATATATCTCTTTTAATTAGCTTTTGGTTTATTTGCCTTTGTAATAATTACCGTACTTATTTATTGTCAGTTATATTCTTCAACTTATTTATTACTTATTTTTTTTAAGCATTTATTTATGAGCAATATTATATTTTTGTCTGTTTTATTCTTCCTTTGTATTTTTTTTTACCCTGTTTATTTCTTCAAAGCTATTTATTTCTGCTTGACATATTTACATTTTTGTATGCATTTCTGCCTCATTATGCAAATAAGGAGGGGTGTGTCTTAAGGGGTCAACTTCTGCCCATTGTTGGTTAGCAGCCACTTTTGCTTCATGCAAGCATGAAGCAAAAGTGGAGAGGAAAAACCTCTTATCAGGAAGAAACCTCTGGCAGAACCAGGCTCAACATGGCAGGCTTCTGCTGGACTGGATGAAATGAGACAGGGAACGCAGTAAGAGTCCTGGAGGAATGACACTCTGATGGCTTTAGCTATGATGATGGTGAAGGGGATGGAGATGGGTGAATTGGTGTCATCTGAATGGAAGTCAGACATGCCTGTGCTTTGGATAGCAGACTTACACTGCAAAAAACGATCTAGAAATAAGTAAAAATTTATTAAATAAAGTGTATTTACCCTTAATTTGAGTAGGTAAATAAGATAGTTTGCCAATGGAATGAGTATTTTACTCTTAAAATAAGAATTAGATAATATACACTTGAAATAAGACAATGCAATTGTCTTATTTTAAGTGTAAATTGTCTTGTTCCATTGGCAAAATGTCTCTTTACCTCCTCAATCCAAGAAAAAATGCACTTATTTTAAAGCTACAGTGTGTAATAATTACAGGGATATACAGTCAGAAATGTAATATATTATACATAACTATGTTATTTATCATCATCTACGAGCTCAGCCTCTTAACCTTAATATTTGCGTTGCCTTAGAATTCGTTATTTATAATTACATAGGAGCGGGTCTCGCAGCCATGGAGGCAGACATCTTTGCGCTACGGCAGCGCAGAGCCAACAAACTAGCGATTGCGAGATCGCCCATTACGCTCGAAAGTAACTACGGCAAGTTGAGAGAGATGAACTGAGACGGTACTGAACAATAGATGGCAGTATTAAAATTATCTATGTAAACAAACCTCATCACTTGAGAAGGTAGGTGATGCGGACGTCGTGGAAGACATTTTGTCCCGTAACGCTCGCCGTACTGTTGGGGGGGAGAAGCGGTGGGGGGGAGATGTTCATGTTGGTGCGGTCTGCAGTCTGAACGTTAGATGTCGCTGAAAATTACACACTGTAGCTTTAAGAAAAAATGACTTATCTAGATTTTGATTTTTTCCTGTGTAGTTGTGGATTTTGAGACCTTTTAATATCTGGATGCTGATTGGGCTTCATGGAGGTGCGGTTCAAAGCTGATTAGCTTGTGTCGGAGACAGATGAGGGTAAGTAATCAGTTTATTCAGTTGAATTTCTGCCTAGGCTCCATTCTTTTGTTTTTCATTAAATATCACAGAAAAACAAGAGTTCACACACCTGAAACTTTTTCACAACTAAACACATGCTGACCGAATTTCACTAATATGATGAAATAAAATAATCAAACTTTAGTTCACATTTGTGAGGTGGAAAAAAATGTTTTGCTAATCAAAAAATAGAAAGTGTGACATGCATTTGTAATCAGCCCCCTTTACTTTAAAGCCTAATAATAAAATGTATTGTTGAAATATAACATTAAATCAATACATGTTTGTGTTTGCCATATGAAAAGAATTTCAGAGAATTTTAAGTCTAACAAATAAATTAATGTGGATATTTATTAGAATAGTCAGAAATGTAATATATTCTTAAGTCCTCTGTTTGCATGTCTACTGTGCATTAGGACAGTTCAGTCGAGTCTGTTTTGATGTGCCGCTGAGAGCTGTGAGACGTCCACCAGCAGTTCTGCGTCTCCAGCTTGTGCTTCTTTTCCCCCCAGTCAAACCCAGTGTTCCTGTGCAGGCGTGCTTTCCTGTCTCTCGAGCCAACCTGCTCAGGAACAGGTGCGCCTGCCGGTATGGAAGATGCGAGCTGCCTCCCAGCTCCAGCCGGTGCTCATTATACACCCACACTCACACATGGACACTCAATATAGTTTTATGAGTCTCAGGGATGGATGATTATTTTACTTTTACCTTTTTTCAATTTCCTAATTACATTACCGCCACACATTGTTTTATTACTGCGTTGAGAGGCCAATAAAGGAAATACTGGTGACAGTCCTTTAGATGCTGATTACTTACCTCATTTTTTGCCTACTTTGCTTTGAGTGAAAGCGGTTTTATTACATTTTAACCCATAAATAGATGCCTACTGGCCATTTTTAGAAGAAGAACAATGTAATAAAAGCAAAGCAAAGCGTTTTGGTATTCATAGTCATATATATACTAGCTGATTACCTGAGCGTGAGCGCCGTTGATCATCAGGTAATAGAGTTTGCTGAGGATGCTTTGTTGGAGTTGGTCCCAGGAAATAGACCGATCCTCCCTCATCAAGAATGGAGGTCCAAACCTTGAAGAAACAGTTTTATTGATGTTTTATTGAAGTTATGTTGATGGCAAAACGTGGTGTGAAAAAAGAGAAAAATACACAGTGTATTCTCACAACTTAACCATATTTGGTGAATGGTCATAATGTGGCTTTAAATACCCTTTATATCATAAGCAGCACTGTCTCAACATTCCTATTTCTATGAAAGGACAGAGAAGGACGATGAGGAATAAAAATGGCAGCTGAGGTGAGACGAAACCATCTCTCTGAGATGACATGCCTATTGTAATAGACGTCTAATTGAGGGCAGGCCTCCCCTTAGATCCAGAGATTTATTATGATGAAACCATGTGAGCATTCAAGCTGTAACTGTGCAGAAAGGGAGAGAGATGCATAAAGAGCCAACTTCATCTTATTATTTTTAGCTATAACAACAATGTTTTATCATACAAACAACACCTCTTTGTTTTTAGTCACTTTGTTTCTGAGATCTCCACAACATAAGCAGGTGTAAATACAGCATTATTATATGTCTATAAATACATTTCTGAAAATTGTCTGTTGATTTCTTGCACATAAACTGATAATATAGTTTTTTTTTGTTCATTTTTAAATAAATAGTGTTTAATATATCCCTGAAATGATGCTATAAGTATCTAAAATGATCAATGAAGGATTTTAAGTAGAATCGTCCTGTTGTACGCTATCCATCAGCTCTGCTGGAGTGTTAATGAAGCCTCGGGTGCTCTAACAGCAGCAGTCGTTGTCTGATTAGCCCTGATGAGACGTGGCTGATCTCCTCTCTGGCTCCGGAGCGGCTTAACGTGAGGAATGTGACAATCGCAGCCCGTGTCCTAAACAAGCGTGTGTGTGTGGTGGCTGCTGAAGCTCTGACACCAGAGACAGTTCATGCTTTGTGAAGACGATTTCTCTTCAAATAAATGCAGCAGATCAAACAATGAAGCCCCTCTTCACAGTCTGAGAATTCAGGAATTCATGTTTGTGTTTTCACCTGCCTCCACGCAGAGAACAGGCCGAAGACTGTGACTGAAGGGAAACATCACAGATTCGATCCGAACTGACTAAAGATAAGAACAGTGAGCGCTTTGTGTTTTTTTTTTTTTACATTAAACATGGTTTTGCAGATCAGACATATAAACAAAGTGGAGAGTTTCCCACTGGTTGTTGGTTATATACCTGTGTTATTATTTCAACAAAGAATGAGAATAGGGTATGTGACTCCAATGTCATGCTCTTGGCTCGGCTGGGCTCTCCAGCTGTCATCTGATGAGGGGTGTGTGTGTGTGGGTGGATTGAGCAATGACAAAAAGGCATCTGAAGGAGAAAGAGATAAGAGCCCTCATGGATGGGATCAAACTTTTCCACTGTGGTGTTGGCCCGCTCACCTTTATTGATCTCTTTGGACCATCACAGTGAGAAAAGCTGTGATGGATCTGCTCTTGGTGCCAGATGTTGGAGCCCTGGGTTGTTTTATTTGGAACTAATCTCACTGAGATCTACATTAGTTTGAGCTCATTCAGTAATGGACAACTTTAAATGTTTTTAGTGGATCAGAGGAATCCGTAGTAAGAGGGGTATGTTCTTTTAGCTATTTTTTTTTTTAAAGCTTTACGCTTAAAAAAATAACTATTTTCTTTTTAATATAGTTTTCTTGTTGCAAATATTAAAATTTACTAGTAAAACAGTTATTAGTTAAGTTAGTATTAAAGTTAAATGTTAATTAAGAGATTGATTGACGTATTGATCTTACTAGTGCAAAACTCACTTGCTAACATTTATTGATCACATTAATGGACCACAGCTGTTTTAGCTCTATAATCCTTATTAGTTATATTTCCATCATTTCCCTGATAGGAATGAGATGTGTTTTTAATTGAAAAGAAAAATAATAACAGAATAAAGCATTTTTATTGGCCTAAAATCAAATAATCTGATTTTGATGTCTGTTTTAGACTTTATTCGGAATAGAAGCACTCTATGCGAAAATGGGCTGTTAGATTTCCCTAAAATAACCAAAACAGAAGTAAAAAAAAAAAGTAAAAAAAAACAAACCACTGGACTTTGTTTTCCAAGTCTAAAGATGTTTCGCACTCCAATCAAGGAAGATTTTTCAATTCAAAATGTCTGAATTAGCGTTGAGTTCCAAGCTTTAGAGAGTGGACTAACAAAGCCTTGTTTTGGCTTAGAAAACATGCAAATTGAACCGGAAGAACATTTCCACCCCTTAGTGATGGGGAGTCATTGAGGTCTTTGTTAGCCTGCAACACATGATACTGGAATGGGGGGGTCATAAGGGGCCAATGTTGGTTTGGCTGAACAGGCGACATGTCTTGGTCCCCTGCATGGCCATGAGGATAATGATAGTGGGAAGGAATCAACTTTATCGCTGCATTGTAGGTTTTTGAGAGCTGAAACCTGAGTCCACCCCCTCTGTTAAGGGTTGATTTTTCTCTCTTAACATAATTGGCTTCTTTCACACCCCTTTCAAACCACCTGTCCTCTTTGTCCAAAATGTGAACACTCTGGTCCTCAAAAGAGTCCTTAAGGTGTAGATGTACAGCCGTGTCTTGCATTCCTCACTGTATTGAACTGCATACAGTGCACCACTCCGCTCATATTTGGTCAGGGGGCTTTTGTCTTTAGGATACACTAGCCTCTGTCTAAGGGCCGGATTTATCAAGATCCAATTTTGCGTGCAGTAATTTGCGCTCGCAAACTGGAATTTTGCGCGAGGGGCTGAACCATGGTTTGCGGGTGATTTAACAAGAGTGATTGCGTAACTGGTGGCAGGCGCAAAACTGTTGGAGACGCCCTATTTAAATGATGGTTTTGCGCGTTTTGTGGGTTGCGGCAAAGTAGTTTGTAGTTTGTGCAAACTACTGCATTAAGAAATTTTTATCTTACAGTGACACCCCCACCCCCTCCAAAAAAAATAAATAAAAATAAATATATATATATATATATATATATATATATATATATATATATATATATATATATATATAGACTTTGGCAACCTTTATTCCAGAAGGGTGGTATGTGGCTGAATTTCTACTTCACTGCAGTAAAAAAAAACAAAAAACAGGTGTTTTGTATTGGCCTGTAGAAAAATGCACATACCAAATGGCTCACAATGGTACTGTGGATGAGATGACTGCGCGTACGCATCCCCACAGCATTGGCATGTTGCTCCACAGGCGCAGGGGGGGGTCGGGGTTCTCCGGTAGGGCGTCAGGGAATTTAGAACGTCGGACAGCACTTCTGAAGAACGAGATTGGGAGATCCCAGATGCAAAAAAGTGCAATGTTGCAAGGAGTTTTGTGATATCTGGTATTGCGTGGGTCCTCCTTGTAGCTGGCTCCAAATCCATTCGGAGTTCCCCCAACAGCTCCAAAATGGCAATTTCCTCGTTCATTCCAAAAATATTCACACGGAGTGAAAAAATGCGTTCTCTGCGTCTCCTTGCTTCATTTCGATATCTCCTTCTTGCGACAATAACCGCTGCCATGTGTGCACAATTACGCATACAGACCATTTGCACCTTCTTTTGAAACGTGTTAAATATAGTCAGATACCGTTAGCAAAATTGCTTTCAGGTTTAATAAATCACTTTGCAAGTGCTAAATTAATATATTTACATGTTCTCCTCCCACAAGACGCACTTTTGCGTGTAAACGCCCCATATTGCATATTCATTGCAGAAAAAGTACTAAATGGATAAGAGGCGCTATTTAGCACGTTTTAAAGACCAAATCCTTTTAGCAGCTGTTGATAGATCAGTTTGTACATTTTTTAGCGTGCGCAGTGAAATAGCTCACGTTTTTATACACGCAAACCTTTGATAGATCCGGCCCTAAGGGTCTTGTTTTGGTTTGAAATATACTGGGATTTTGTGTTTGGAGGAAATCCTCTTGAGTTTTTCAGAGACTTTGGCAACATATGGGATAACGATTTGCATTTAATCTTCTCACCAGTATGTGCTGCTGTGTGTCTTTTGGATTTCTTTGCTGAAGTGTTTTAAGTTCAACCTGTGCTACACGAAAAAACGCAAACATCCCAGTGTTTTGGACCTGACTGTTCTGAGGCCCAGAATGGACTCATGTCATGCTTTACATCATTAAGCTTCCAGCCTGCTGTGTTTTAGATTGAGAGCAGAAGGAAGTTAACTTTCCTGTAAGCTTCAAACTTATCCACTGTAGGAGTAGGTTTTAAATGTAGTCGCTTTATAGCTTCTTGATCATTAATGGAATTCCCTGTCTTACTTAAAAACTTGTCATAATTAGGTAAACCACCTCAGTTTGAATGGGCCTTCGTTTTTTTGACTCTGGGTATCTTCTTTGCAAAGCAAAATAAACACCTCTACATTTAAGACAGATCCCCCAACATTGGTATGCCTCCTTAGCTATTGCTGAGTTATTTCTTTTTAAGGGGCAGTGGTGTCAAGTACAAATATATTTGTTACCTTACCTACTTAGAAATTTGGCTATTTATACTGTACTTGAGTAATTATTTGTTAGACAACTTCATACCTCTACTTTCTAATCCTTACATTTTAAAAACAGACTTGCTCATTTTCATGGTGGCCTCTTGGAATTTAAAAGATCAAAATAATTTGTTTCATCCAGACAATTCATTTCTTTATAATAATAAAGAAATTCATTATAAGGAAATTGTCAACTAGAATTGCAGAAAAATGTTGCTTAAATACCCCAGTGTAGTAAAGCATCTGTCCCTCACATTTTTTCCTGCACTACTTTTACTTTTATACTTTAGGTAGTTTTAGAAATGGTACTTTTAAATTTTTTACTTGCGTGAAAAGTTTAAGTTGATAATCTACAAAACAGTTCTATAAAAATGTGTTTAAACAGTAGGATATAAACTTCTACTTGAGTAATAAACGTTAATACTATTGACACCTCTGGTAAGGGGTAATATTTACCTTACAGTCTGCTGGCCTCTTCCAGCCGCATTGCAAACCAGCAGCAGAATCTTGACTGGCACACCATGGTTGAGAAACTCTGATGATAATGCTCCAGATGAAGGTAACCTTTGACCCTCAGGACCAGAGGAATAAGGGGATGACGGCAAGCTGTGATGATACCCTGGGTGGTAAAAAGAAAAACGTGTTATTGCATCATAGCACATACAGTTTCACAAATTCTTAAAAAAACCAAAAAAAAAAACAGGGGTAAATGCTTTTGTAAACTGATGACCCTTGGAATTACAGAAACACAGACTACAAAGGACTAGGGCGGACTGTTGTGCTATTTAAATGAGTAAGACAGCAGCTTTCTATTTGCAGAAAAGTGATTCAGTTGGGGGAACAGATGGACCAATGGCTGCCTCTTCTATCAGCAGGAGGCCTCATCTGATGCTGCTTCTGCTGCACATCCTGTCCTGGTGGGACGTCAGGAAGCTACTCCTCTGTTCCACTTGTGCCTCTTCCAGCGCAGAGGACCGTGTCTGACTGAGAGGAGAGCTGAAATTACACCATCCTGGGAGCTCTGTGATGTCACAGTGGACAACCTGCTCTGTCACGACAAAAGCAGCCAAATAAGGTCTCATCACATAAAGTCAGCTTGAGTGAAGTTCAAAGTGATAAATCACATGGTAAATTAAACATGTAGACAGTCCCGCATCGTATTGATTAGAAGCGACAGCCGGCCCTTCCTAAAACCACTATGTTTTATTAAACACCAATGATTCTTGATTCATCACTGACAAAACAAATGCCACAGCAGACTTCCTCATAAACCACAGAGCCTCTGTTTGAGCAGGCCTTAGTTTACACAAATAACTTGCAGAGCCACTGCAGAATAAAGAGCAAAGCAAATTCAACACACCGAAGCTTTATCCAGTCACTTCTGATCGTAATGTGCTCCCCACGAGAGGAAGCATAACGCTAATTATGCAGCCTTCCACTTCTTAATGTCTCTCTAATTAAGCAAGTCAGAAATTTTGCCTAATCATGTGATTTATTTTAAATTAGCAGCAAACTCTGAAGCAAAACAAATCATGAGTTCCCAATGAAACATGAGGAGATGGCACTGACTGGCTGAGGTCACCTGTAGCCCTGCCCCATTAAGAATAACCATAGAGACATTGGGTCAGAACCTTGAGATATTTTCCATTTTGCAGAATCTACGACTTAATGAGGTAGAGGGATGAGGGTACTGCTGAGGTTCTAAAGGCTATCTTGTCTGGATCTCTGGGCCCTGCTGGGGTCTACAGGGGCAAACTAAGAAGCGTGCCATATTGCAAACTTTAAGGATCTAATTGCAAAAACAGACAGAGAGGGGAACTAGTGTAGATTGGGAAGACCAGAGCAGCCTCTTGGAAGAAGGTTGGGGTTGGAGAAAAGCTGGCCCCTCATGTGGGCCGAACCAGCAGGTAGGGATGTACAGGTGAGACCCAAAAAGATCAAAATAAGAGGCACTAAATTGAATGTGCAGTTTTCTTAATGAGTGAGTGTGTTGCAGGTGATTACAGAGGCACTGAAAGGCAAGTGAGGAAAACAAAAAAAGCCTGGATAAGAACAATTGTAAGTTTACATTTTATTTCTGCCCTGAAAGGCAAAGGAAAAAAAAGTCTAGATAAGAAGAGTTTTAAGTTTTTTTCTTTCCTGGAAGAAAAGTGAAATGTAACTTTTTTTTCTGTCCTAGAGCAAAAGGAGAGAAAAAAAATCTATATATAAAGGGCAGATTATACTTCTGCACAAATCAGAACTGTTCACGAACCAGTTCTGTTGGTATGCTTCTGCACCGTCGGTCTGGAATTTCTAGTTTCCCACCAAAGTGCAAGGGGGAACCTATTCTAGAACTCACGAGAACTTCAGCCGATGGTCACGAGAACTTCGGCGGCGCCAGCAGGAGTATTTATTTTCCAAACAAAAATGGCAAGATATCACGGTCACGGAGATGGATCTAGAGTTGCAAGACATCGAAGAGGAACAGGTTATGTTAATGGAGTTGGCAAAAAAACAAAAGCGGCCGCGTAGGTTGTCCATTGTATTTGTTACTCATTATCAAAAATCGAGGAGGAGGACCACACAGACTGGAAAGGCATACCAAGGACCAATCACAGCTGCTTTTTGTCTGCACACCTCCACTTGAGTTCAGGGAAGGTTTCCAACCGCCAAACCAAAAGCAAGAATTTTTTTTAGACACAGAGACAGATTAGATGGTTGCAGAGGCTATGTGTCAGATGCATAAATTGGCCTTAAGTCAACTACTTCTCAGCAGGACGCTGCCAGTCAGCCTCCATGTTGAGCTTTGAGTCTCGGTCTACTGAGGTAAGCGGTGAGAAAGTAGACACCTGATTAGATAACAAGGCTAAATACGTCACTTCCAGTGAGTCTAAAACTCTTAGTGCAGACCTGGGCATTATACAGCCCATGGGCCGCATGGGGCCCACATGAGGATCATGTGCAGCCCGTGAGGTAAAAGTCAAAACACCCATTTGCAGACCTGGGCATTGTACGCCCCGTGCCACATACTGTCTAAGGTTGATTAGGAATTTAGAAATTTCAAAATAAAGATGTTTTCCAATTTCACCTCATGAATGGATTAAAGCTGCTATGCTTTTTATTTTCAAGTAGTTTTTTTTATTCACATGAAAGGAACGACAACCGGGAGCAATTTGTTCACGGAGGTACATGCGTGCATGGACACACTGGGACTGAAAAGGGACAGACTGGCTGGTATCACAACAGACGGTTGTCCAAATCTTATGGGGAAAATGTTGGACTTTTGAAACATGCAAGATAAAGTGATGGAAATCAACGCAAATCAGAAATTGGTATTTTTGCCCTATATTATACACTAACGTGTTGTGCAAATCAGTGCTGAAAATTAACCCTGTTATTGATGTTACTAAAATTGTAAACTTTATCAGGGCACGGACATTGAATCCAAGACAGTTTGTCTCTCTTTTGGAGGAGCATGAGCCTGAACATTGTGACATCGGCTACCACACAGCTGTCAGATGGCTCAGCCTGGGCAAAGTGCTAAAAAAAGTGTGGGATCTGAAAGCAGAGATTGGAGAGTTTGGTGAGAAGAAAGGTAAAGAAATCCCAGAGCTCTCAGATAAAGACTGGAGGTTAGATTTTGCATTTGCTGTTGATGTGACTGCACTGATGAGTGAAGTGAACACCAAACTGCAAGGCAAGGGCCTTTTGTTCATGAAATGCACAGCAAGGTGAAGGCTTTCATGAGAAAGATGCAGTTTCTTTCAAGCCAACTGGAGGGCAACATTCTCACTAACATGCAAACCCTAAAAGAAGTCACACTATCAGCTGATTGCCTTCGCAGGTACTTATCTAGTGAGTTTTCAAGGCAGTTTGAGGATCTCAGAACGATTGAGGATGAAATGCACATGGTTTCTTTTCACTTTACCTGCAGTGTGCATTATGTTCCCAGTGATGTTCAGATGGAACTAGTTGACCTGCAGTCTGATGCAATACTAGAAGAACACTTCAAGTCAGGATCTCTGCTTTATTTCTACTCTTCTCTCAAGGAGGGGAACATTCAAAACATTAGGAGATGTGCTCAGAAGATGTTGGTTCTCTTTGGCTATACTTACATTTGTGAACAAACATTTTCAATGATCAAGTTTACAAAATCGGGGTACAGATACTCTCTCACTGATGAGCATCTGCCAGCTGTGCTTTGCATCTCCACCTCAGACATTTAAGCCGACTTTGATGCTCTGGTTAAAGCCCAGGAGAGACTAGAATTCTCTCACTGAACAAAAAAACAAACAAAAAAAAACCTTAAAATATCAAATAAGCTGGTTGGACAATAAAGACATGTAAGCAAAAGCTTTTTTGGAAGCCTTTTTTTTTTTTTCAAAATTAGTTAAATATGATGTAGCTTGTTTGGAGTACAAATACAATATTGTGGTTTCTTTAGTCTGTTAAGAACCACTTTCCAACAGTATTTGAAACTCCCTCAATGTGTTTTGGAGTGAATGTGACTAAAATGTTCCCATTTTGTTTGTTTTGGTTAATTTGACTGAATAAATTGCATTTTTTGTGAGGCAACTTCGCTGTTTCATTGCTTGATTTTAACATATACAATTACTAGCTTGTCAAAAACAATGATATTTACTGCTTTTTTTTTATAAAGAAATACTATTAAAATTATGCAAGATTGAGTTCAGTCTTTTGGTACCGCCCTCCACAACATTCTTGTCTCTCATGTGGCCCCACGGAAAAAGTAATTGCCCACCCCTGTCTAGAGGGACTATGGAGCAGGGGTGGGTCATGATGCTGGCTGCTCGATGCTGATTGGCAAAAATACTTAAGAATTTTTGATTGACAGTGACCAGACAGCGAAAAGGTTTTCCTCATGAATCAAGTGGGAAAAGCAATAATGCAGTCAGAACAGTCATCTTGTGCTGAATTCTTGTTGTGGTTTCTGGAGTTGATTATTTCCGACTGCTTCATAACAGCTATTTTAATTCAGTGTAGTAATGTGTTTTATGTATTTCAAAATGTTTTAATGTGATACGTGATGTTTGGATTTAATTAATACCAATAAGCCTTTCGTTTTTCAGAGAGCATCAGCCACCACTGGTTAGCACCCATCTGCTAGTGGCGTTAATGTAGTAGGAGGACCAAAATTGAGCTTTAAAAACATGCTCCAGTGGAGTTTGCTCGTCTGATCAAAGGGCACGCTTAATTAAAAAAAGGCATTTTCACACTATGGATTTTCTGGTAGGCTCTAAACTAAAGCCAAAAACACCAACACACAGATTTTAGCACGGAAAGGTCAGATTTCCTGATTATGTCTCATTTTATTTAGTTGTTGCACAGAGGAAGAATGCTCATTGGACTGTTGTCCAGCAGATGGTCAGTAAAACCTTCTGCAAAGAAGGTAAGTCAAAAAATATCTGTAGAAGCTGAGGGTGCTTGATGCAATCAAATAAATGAAGGGGGTAAGAAAAAGTTGTGTGTCAAAAGATGCACAAGCTACGCGCACTCCAAAGCCTGGAGGATTTTGTGTAGCAAAGCCTAATCCAGACTTTAGGGGTATGTGAACTGGAGTGGTTGTCAACTAGCAAACGAGGACAGATCCAGGAAGTTGGCTGCAACTATCTGACT